AATATTTCTCTAACAGTTTACAATACATTATGAGATTCGACGGAAAGGTGGTCAGTAAATACGTGCTTTATTCACAACATCATACATTTTATACAATCCCGTTCTTAAAATGCGAAATATTTCATTGTTACATTACATACGTAAATAATTTAACGTCAATATAGTCTACTGTAAGACCAGTAATTAAAAAAACTTTAAAGAGTTTAGCAATATGGGTCTTTATTTCTTTGACTGTTGTACATGTGTTTCAACTAAATTGTCCACTATTTAAGAATTTTCTTTTAATGTAATGGCGGGCATTGCCTATTCAGCATTGGCCGCTCCTAAGGCCAGAAGTGTCTGCCACCATTCCCTCCTATGAAATAGAAGGACAGTTACAACCTTAATGTTACTAAGGTTCGAACCCGGGCTCTTTGGTACAGCAGTAGGCTCCACTAACCACTATACCGTATTGGATCACTGTTCTAAAATTAAAATGAATTATTTTTAAAACATTGTTTGGACACAAAAAGAAAATGTCTTTACACTCTGGTGATTCCTTTCGCGACCGTTGGCTTTTGAAAAGGAATGTATTTACATTTAATAAAAATGAGGTTTGGAATCTTAATAATAAATATACAGAAATTCAGTTAATTTAATTCTCGTTTGCGAATCATAAAAATGCTTCGGCGAAACCAAATAAAATAGCTCAAAAGCTGTGAATAGGAGTACGTTGATGAAAACAATTACTGAATGACGAGAAAACGTTGATGAAAACAATTATTGAATGACGAGAAAATATTTTTGAGTCTTTGTATTTTTTGCTTCTACTTAAAATTTAAGACTGATAAACTTTAAAAACATTATATCCACATATTTCAGTTAGATCCAGGAAATTATGTACATAACTTAAAATCTATGAATGAGAAGATTGATCTACATGTAAAATATTTTACGAAAAAGTTACGTTTCTCTTATTTGTTACCACACATATCTGAAGAAATCTAGCGCTATGAGCACTCAATATTGCTTTCTTCTGTAACCAGGAATTCAAAATTTTATACTCCGTCTCATACCTGAGCCATATAAGAATATGAAATGAAAAGGTGCATCGTATAATATGAAGGAAGGGAAAGATATGATAAAGGCAAAACAGTTCAGTGCACTGCAGATTTATATGTTCCGATTTCAGAAATGGTTATACTATCAAGAAAACGTAATAGGATTTCGCTGCATATTTTTTATGAGCCTCCAGAATATGAAAGCAAATGTGGTATAAATCTGTTCCTGGATTAAAGTGAATAAAAGTATTGGATGTTTTTATTGGATTTCTTCCTAAATTTTGTAATCGATAGGGAAGAAGACATTTCTTTTCACCTCATTGAATCCGAATTGAGTTTTATCCATTAGATGGATGTATCTAGAATAGAGATTAGGAATTTTATCTAAAGATATTGGCTGCATTTTAATGCATAAAAAAGCAATATTTAGCTATTGCCCCAACTTAACATATATATTCTCTCGTAAAATCTTGGTTTCCCTCTTTTTAGCTTGACTCAAATTTTTTCCAACGCTTCAGTGAATCATTATTCTAAATAGCTCCAGTAAAATATATCTTCTTTCAGGGTAATTTAATCCATAATTTCTTCATATATTTTGCAATTTAGAACACAAAATGTGCTGCAAGTTAAAAATGTTATTTAATTATTAAATTCATCCAAAATTATGATCCTAAAAGCTTTTGCATTCTTTTCTAATCATGCAACATTGAATTAAATTCACAACCAGGCTGGTCGTTGCTTACGATTTTGATGCACAAAAGGTAAAATATATTCAAACTAACATACATATAAAACCGTTATTTATATTATAGAAATCAAAATTTGTTTCGATATCTAATGAACACAGCATCCATGTACCTTAATATCCCTGTTTATCGTAAAAAAATGGTATACGGTTTTGATTTAAAGTAAAGAACACATGCATTAAGAATTATATATATATAAATTGATTTAAAACTGAGTATAATGAAAGTAAATGTTAATTCGTTAAATTGAATACAATAATTCTCATTTATTATGGCGAGATATTTAGATATGGTTAATATGTTAGTAGGGATAACTTTATAAAGGATTTCCTGATAGAAAAATGCACGAAGGAGCTAGGTTGTCAACACATAACTTGAATTATCTACCAGCGTTTTAATTATCTTACTTCTTAGCAGAGTTTACTTATTTTATTTGTATCTTACTCGTTTCATCTCACTTGCGCTTTGTTACCCATTCTTATACCTTAAGGAGCTTGTTTGTTAAACAAGCTCCTAAAGGTATAAGAATAAAATTTGATTATTTATTATTTAATCTAAGAGCTTAAATAAAATATTAATGACAAAAATGAAAGGTTTTTAACTCAACATTTTTATCAAGTGTATAAAAGATGGTCACTCAGTGCTCGTCAATGCATTTATATGTATTATATATTTGTAAAAATTATTAAATTGAGATCATTGAAATCCTAAAAAAGGAATATCCATTGAGATTTCTCCTTTTGTAAGAAATTTGCGTGTATTTTACAAACATTCCGATTTCACTGGATAAAACAAACTGAATAATCTAAGATTTAAATACAGTAATATAACCATAGATATTAATTCACTATTTTATTGGAGAAATAAATCGCGGAATTAATATTCAGGCCATAAATCATGATTAAAATTGATTCGCAGAAACTTTTCTGAGCATATATTTTTGTTTGGTTTGTTCTGTAATGTGGAAATATTTTATCACATGAGAAGAAAATTGTGAAGAAAACGTAATAAGTATTACATATGCAACATATTGACATTTTTTGAGTAATTTAAATTACATAACTCATAACTACAGAGATGATAGATATGAGCTCGGTAATGACATACGAATAAAAACAATTATCTAAATAAAATTTTTGCATATTACCTGATAACGTAGTAAACAACAATTTGTATTCAGTTTGAAAGGTAATTACTGGTTAGTTTGTACTATTTCGAAAATAAGAAAAAATCCTGAATGAATGATGAAAAGAAAGATAAGAACAAGAAATATATTTTTAAATAGTTGAAGAGACGGACAGTTACAACATGCCTTTTCCGAGATTCGAATATAGGTTCTTTGGTATCGCAGTCGGCTCCCCTAATCACTATAGCGTCTGAACGGCTGTTTTAAAAAAGTAGAAGAGCAAACAAAACGTTCAAACAAAATTTGTTGAATATGCAGTTCAAAGTGTTATTAATAAAATAACAATATTCCTGTTATAATAATTTAAATATTTTTTCTTAAAATTAAATTTTTCTGAAATTAAAAGTGAGAACGTGATTTATTCTAATGAACCAACAATTATGTTTACTAAGGGTGATATTGTGCAGCGTGACCTAAAAAACCTTTAACATTTGAAAATTCAACAATTCATTCAATAATGTAGGTAGAGAGGTAAAAACGGACTCACATCCTTGAAATTTCATGAGGCTTTATTGAAAGAAAAAAAATAGCTTAAAACGGCCAATAGATTTCGTTTCATATGATAACAAAAGCAATAATTAGTATAACAGCTGATTTTTTAGCAGAGACTGTGCTCTTTATAACAAATGTTAAACATGCCGGCCGTCATTCATCAACAATACGTCGAGGGACAATATTGTGAGCAGCACTGTACAGCATATCGGTAAGTATGCTAAGGAACTGCCGTAGGATGTTGTCTTTTAGCATTTCTAATAAGGTAATACAATCGCGGTAGACTTGTGATTTCAAGTATCCCCACAACCAATACTGACGCGAACTGAAATCTAGGGATCTGAGAGGCCAAGCATGACGGAAGTGAGGGTCAGCACGTGATCCTCACTAAACGCTGTGTGCAAGAGAGCTTTCACACGTGTAGCAACATGGAGTGGAGCGTCATCCTGCTTAAAAGTCATACCTTCCAACAGGTCTTTACCAGCCGGACTAGGGTTGATGCGATTCTGTACATATCAGCGTACCTCGCACCCATCACGCTGACAGGTCGAATAGCAGAACACACAGTTCTTAGAAGAAAAAGGGTGCGATCACGATTGATGTGATAAATCCACATCACACCGTGATCAACATTCAGAAGCGAGAAGAGAAAAGTGACATGAAAATGTCATGAATAGACTGATTTTCTCTCTCACTAGAGCTCATTTTATACACGATTCTCATGCGGCGTCACTGAAATTTTCCTCCCCAGTGCCATATGGTTGCCTTTTCATGATTTTTTTTTTTGGCTTTCAATAAAAAACATGTCATTTCAAGTATGTACGTCAGCTTTTACCTCTTCACCTACATTATTCCGTGATACTAACGGACATTTGGGTCACCCTGTATATGTGTAGTATAAATATTTATGTACACTGATGATCTGACTTCCGTTTTATTAATGCTGTGGTACTTAATAATAAGCATTCTTACAAAAAGTGTAAAAAATATCCTTATTGAAATAAATTGAAACTTTTCAGATAAAATATGAATATTTCTAAAAACTTAATACGAAACTTACCTTTTATCCCGAGTATTTTAGTTATTATACCCTCACTAGTAAGTACTCCGCCTGTCAAACTGCTACAAAGACATACTTAAAATGTATTAAAAATTTAGTTGCGTAGTATCTCATGACAGTGGTTTTAATGACCTGTTTTTTAGTTCCTCTTGATTTGTTATTGTATCTTAAAATAAAATCTAATATTCTGAAAGCTGATTTTTCTTCACGGAAACTGGTACTTTTAAAATAGCAATATAGTTTTACATGAACAGTTATGTTCCAGTCGTACTACTGCTTTCGAATTTTTATCTTTATAATCTTTATTAAAATGCTAATAAAATAAGATTATGACTTTTTTATTGAAATTATATTTTATACAAATATTCTGCGTAATTTATATTAGAATTATTAAACCTTAACTCATATATTTTACAGGTATGTAGTTTGATAATTTCATACTAAAACATTTTATTTTGCATTTATTTTTCTTATAGACGGCGGCAGAATACGCTGGTCAGTATGATAAGAAGCGTGAACAAGAATATAGTCGTTTCCATGGCTACGCATATGATGGTATATGGGCCATAGCATTAGCTATCCAGAATGTAGCTCAGAAACTAAAAGCTAAGGGTATGCCATCTGCTCTTAAGGAATTTCAGTACAGAGATCCTTTTTGGGGCCAGCTGTTTAGAGATGCTTTCAACGAAACTTCATTTACAGGAGTTACAGTATGTATCATATTATCAAAGACATTTTTAACAAATTGCATTTAATTAAGGCATTTCTGAGTACAGATTTTTGCTTTTAGTTATTTTTTAAAGGTTCGTTTCAATACATTGTGTTGTTGATGTCTCAAAATAAGCAAGTTTCCTAGGAAAGCACCTTAGAAAATAAATGCGAACAGATACCGACCGCAGCAGTTCTAAATCACATCTTGCTCTAATCTCTCACCGTTATATCACTTAATAAAATTGAAGTATTAGCACTTTTCTGCTGGTGTCTGAGTTACTTTATAAGTACTATTTTCTACTTAATCCTAGGTACAATGTAGGCAGTTTGAGTCGAATGTGCAGGATTACTTTCCGATAAATGTATATTCACGGCGCTATTAAATTCCGTTTAAAGGTTACAGAGAATACTTATATCAAATTTACTATGAAGTCTGTGTTATACTAAGAACTAGAGTTTTGCTTTATTCATATTCTTTATTTAATGGAATCATATAACCACCCAAAAGAATTAAAAACTTTAATCAGAAACATTACCTCGAAATGAGAGTCAGTGATGTCATTTCAGCTTCCATCAAACTTTGATAGCATAATACCTGTCAAACATCAATAAAATAAAAAAAGAACAAACAGGAAAAAAGTTCCTTCTGCTGAGTGTGTAAATGCTCCTGCCTAAATTTCTGACATACCCAGAAAAAAATAGCAAAAACAATTTATTAACTAATCAAAAAATCAAATTCAATGTGGTACGCATTTTTGTATAAAGAAATTAAAAATTTTTGTTAATGGTCCATCGTAACATCAAATGTTGAAAGTATCCACTCTTGTCTTGGATACACATGCTTATATGTTTTATCATATTTCCTGAAGCATGTTTTTGTATGGCAATACCAATATTGTTTCCTGTCGCGACGTTTAGCCAGAAATTCTGCATGGTTAATGGTTTAATTCTGTAATTTTTATGTTATATTTATACGCCTATAATAGAACTAAAATGTGCATGGTAAACACGCAATTAATTATTGTGTATGACATCTTCGCAACCCTGGAAAACAGCGAATTACGAGATTGCAACCACCTGAAGCTCCAGTGTTGCCATCTGCAAGAAATTACTATATTTCCAGATTTGCTTGTTTAATTCTGCTTTAGCAAAAACGTTACAACAAATTAAAAAAATTAGACACCTTATTGAAATACGATGCGTAATATCAGAGGGAATTGGATTGAATTTTTACAGAACTGAAGATTTTTTTTCCCAAGAAGTAACAGTAACAAAAGCAAGTTACTCATTTTTTGAATTTTTAAAATGCTGATTCTAATAATTCCATCATTCATTTATTACATACACATCAACGAAAAGTCAATTTGAACTCTGTATTGTTTTTTTGATGACCAACAATATTTATTTATACATAAGAAACAGTAATTTGATGCATATATATATATATATATATTAATTTATTTCCTAAACAGTATTGATTAATTGATTATATTATCTCCTAAGTTTAATTAAAGTAGAATTATTTTAAAAGTGTGCAATCCATACTGGTAAGTTATATTTTGAAAGATATAGATTATATATATATATATATATATATATATATATATATAGGGATATGTATATAGGGATTTATCCCTTTTTCAATTGAGCTACACTAATTAAAAAAGGCAATGAAATTAATATAGTATAATGAAAATTAAAGGGTAATTGAATTTGAAAGTTAAAATGGCCTACCATAAGATCAGAATATAATCTAATGTGCCATTTTCTACAAAGCTTTCCCTCTCAAAATATTGTACCATGCTTCAATCTTAATCAAATTCTTAGTAAATTCAGCCAGTATATTTTTCTTTATATTCATTTACAAATTCTCAGTAAGATCATTTAATTTTCTTCCGTTTTGTATACAAATTATTATCAACTTGAATAAATTAAAAGGAGGAAGTGATATTCATACGAGAAGATATCATTTCGAAAACATAAACCTCGCACATATGGAAGCATTTAAATTTAAAATTTTCACACAGCAGACTCTAATAATTATGTTCTGAATATTTTCAGACAAATAACAGGGGAAAATACAAGGGAACACGTTATTGGCTAAAATACATACCCATTATATCATTTCAAAGAGGGACTTTATTACATTAATGCAGCCTACTTTAAAACCTTTTTTAGCCCAAAAGGGACTAAGTCTCGAAATGCGATATTATTCATACATCGGTTAACTATAAACGACGTATCACTTTTCAAATTGTTACCTATATTTTAAAGAAATTAAATAGTGAATCTGCGTATATGAACGTATGTTCTCGGAATTGAGGAAACACGATGGTACCTGGTGCCTCCAAGTTTTGAATAACGTAATTTACTATCGAACATGCGTACCTGGAAGCCCGAATATTTAATTTCGGATTTGCTTTATTATTTTTTAATTTTATGTTTCGCAAAACTTAAATGACTTTCCGACTAACAAACTCAATAATCTGAAGGAGAACAATAGCAACACTGCGCGGAATAAAACATTTTTATCTCCAGCGCGACACTGTCCATCTGAAATTCTAAAGATAGGCTGTTTTTAAATGTTTTTTGATTTTGCTGTTGAATTGAATTTTATGTGGCGTAAGTCCGAGGAACATGATATTCAATAAATACAGTTAACATACAATACGTTAATAAGAAAAAGACAAAAATATTTCGAGCCATCCTATTAAGAATGCGTAACGTTGATATGAGAAACTGATAAAAAATTGAAAAAAGTAGCAAAATGTATGCCAACATTTAACACTGCATTGGGAATTCTAAACGTGTGTTTCTTTTAAAATTTTTGTGATTTTGCTTTTGAATTTGCTATGGAATATGTGTTAAGAAACGGAATTTTATTATAAATCTAAGAAGACAAAAAAAAAAAAAAAAAAAAAAGTTTAGAATGTTAAAGTAAACTGGCAGGCTGGGAGCACAACGAGACCGTAGAAAACCTTTTGGGAGACCGTTAAAATCTGATGCCTTTCAGATTTTTTTTATTATACCTTACATATAATGGTCCTGTGCAAAGTTCCTATCACAGTTTAAATTATTGCACTAGCTTCATAGTTAATATTATTATTTTGCATTTACAATGGTAAGTGATTTTATCTTATATAAGAAATACGTATATCGTAAGAACTTGCTACCCTAAGTTGGTATCTAAGAATATAATAAACGTAGATTACACTTGTGTTATAATTAAATGTGTTGGAACGAAAACCATGGAAATAACTAGAAGGACGTATTGATGAATCATTTTATGGGTAGGGAGTTACGTATATCAAATCAATGTGTAAAATATAGTGACGATTTAAAAATAAGCGTTTAATTTTTGAAATATTTGAAAGGAAATTTAATGTCTTTACTCTTTAAGTTTGAAAACAACCTGTCTTAGCCTTTTCTAAACAAGGATAGTTGTGCTTATCTCAATTATTAAGTCTTTTAAAAGATTGTATATTATATTGAGAACACGTCAGATGAAGAATTATTTCATTTAGATGCTTCGTACTTTATGGATACATATATATATATATATATATATATATATATACTTGTATATCGGAAATAATATTTTAATATCTCGAAATATGGTAAATATCGAAAAAATATTTTACGATATATAATATTAACTGTTTTACTGGTTTTTGTTGATTGCATGAAATAATATGGATGTATTATAATATTTTCAATTTTATATTAAAAACATTATCTTTGAATTATTTTTCTTCTCTTAAGTTTAGATTATCTATGATCTATTTTAAGTAAGTTTAAAAAGGTATCGCTTTATATTTATACTAGTTATCTAATGTTACAGGTAGCCTATACATAAAAGTAAAAAAAAAATAAATATATATATATTCAATAATATATTTTATAGCAGTACAAACTGGAATTGGAATTTAGAATATAGACGTATCTGGATTCTAATTGGAATTTAGAATGTAGACTCTTTATATAGACTTATCTGGAGAAACACATAACACCAGGCTACAATAATTAACTATAATATTAAGAATAGGTTGTTAGATTTTATTGAGATTCTTCAATCATTTTCATCATTATTAAAATTAAGTTTGAGTAAGAACTGTACTGAATAAATAGCTAACTGTGTGCAAAGTAACTTTTGTTCACAACAGAAGTTCAACTATTAGTTGTATTTTATGAAATCAAACATTCTAATCAATAATATATAAAACTTTTCAGGAACTTCATCGAAACTTTAATGTAAATTAAAGTAAATTCAATTTTCTTTATAAGAAGACCAAATACTAGGCAATAAAATTTAACGTCTTTGCTCAAAACTGAAAGCAAAGTATTTCATTATCATTTACCAAGGAAATCACGAAGCTGTTCACGAGGACATGTTTCGAAAAAGTGGTCTAGACAGCATTTAAATCAAAATTAAATATAGAAAGTATTTAAACCTGAATTAAATCTGAAAACATCCCATTTGAATTAACTTCCTATATATATATATATATTTCCGTTTTACGCTCGAATTCATTAAAACGCATTTTGTACAGAGAAGCCGAAAGTTATGCTTTGTAAAATCTCCAATAGCTAAAAGTATTCTTTTCATGCCAATTAATATCCCATATTAAATGCATTTCCAAATTTCTGCATAATAAATTGTCATGTTTCTTGCAGCGAATCTTTTGTTAGAATCACAGGTGTAAATTTCCAAAATTCGTTATAAATTAGAAGTCATTCAAATTGCAATGGATACAATTTTATCAAAGTCAGAAGATCTGTTTTGTAGCAAAGAGAAGATGACATATTATATCTGTGGTTAGGTTTTTAGAACAGAAATAATTACAAAAAATGTAGTTTTTACTATAGTACTTTATGTTCTTTTTTCAAAGCAACAAAGAGAATCCAAGAACATTAAATACGCAAAGAAAGCGCAGTTTTTCATAAAGGATACATATTATTATAGTGGCTTATTTTGTGGCAACTTGAAAGTCGATGGCAC